TGCTTTTTTCTTCCTTCAAACACCGCAACGAGTTAATTCCAAAGAGCTCAATTTTGGTCTCATTTAACCACAGCACTTTTCCCAATCCTTCTCTGAATCATTTAGATGTTCACTGGCAAACTTCAGACGGGCCTGTCCATGTGCCTTCTTGAGGAGGGGGGGGCCTTGCGGGCACTGCAGGATTTAAATCCAAGGCGGTGTATTGTGTTACCAATGGTTTGTTTGGTGACTGTAGTCCCAACTGCCTTGAGATCATTCATAAGCTCCTCCCATGAAGGTCTGGGCTGATCTTTCACTTTTCTCATGATCATCCTTACCCCATGAGGCAAAATCTTGCATGGAGCTCCATACTGAGGCTGATTAATGACTATTTTGTATTTCTTCCATTTGCGAATAATCGCTCCGACAGTTGTCTACTTATCACCAAGCTTCTTGCTGATGATCTTGTAGCCCATTCCAGCTTTGTGAAGGTCTACAATTTTGACCCTGAGATCCTTTGACAGCTCCTTGGTCTTGCCCATGATGACGAGGTTTGAATGGAAGAAAGAGATTCTGTGGAGAGGTGCCTTTTATACAAATAATAAGTTGTCATTTGGAGCACCCTCTTAAATTGACAGGACCAATCTGTGTACCACATGAGTACATAGCCAGTCTGTGGGAGCCAGAATTATTGTTGGTTGGTGGGGGATCAAATACTTATTTTACTCACTGAACTGCAACTCAGTTTAAAAAAAATTTGTATCGTGTTTTTTCTAGATTTTTGGTTCATATTCTGTCATTATAATTTAAAATATATATATGATAAAAATGGTAGACCCTTCATTTCTTTCTAAGTGGGCAAACTTACAAAATCTGCAGGGGATCAAATAATTATTTTCCCCCACTGTAAATGTGTCTATGAATCAAAGGTAAAATGTTCTTGCACTGATCAATCACAATACAAAGAGTGAATATCACATATATATCCAGTGAGTAACCAATGTATCCCAGTGTCTTGCTCAGACCTTTACCATATATAAAAGAAACATTTGCTGTGTTTATTTCTCACCCTATAGGAAGATTGCAAGATTACCACAACAAAATGCTAAGGATAGAACAGCAATATGTACTTCTTGTATACAGGGCCATATTTACATCTTAGGAGCCTATAGGCAGAGAATTCTGAAGCACACACTCTTCATTCAGAGGGAGATGTAAACACTGATAATGTATAATCATCAGCGGCAGTGGAATCTACACACCTCAGCTCATGGAGACATAAGTGTGTTTATGTCCTTGTGAGTTCAGACCCAGTACAGACCACTTACTGCTGACAACGCGATCCTGTGTTAATCCTTTACAGCCATGTACATAAGCCCCTTATGTCACATATTGTCTTTTATTATGTTATATGGCTATAAAATGGCTGTCCAGTACTGGTAGTGGACACAGACAAAGCCTGCTCTACTCTATGGGTGGCCAGGAGTAAACTGACCATTCTGTCTGTTTACACCCAACTGCCCTCCTATCCTATCTGCCTAGAAAGAGGAGGACGGATCCTTTTCCGTTTTTTTTTTTTTATTTATTGGGTCTAAACAAACACAAGTTCATTTACACCTACCAGTCCATAGAGGTGAATGAACTGTTCGATCAGGTCTGTCTGGAAAACTGACAGGTGGACCTGATCAGACCCTTCATGTGAAAGGGGCCTTTTTGTTACAGAGCAAATGTCATTTTTGCTCATCTGGTTATTTTGGTATTAAAGTGTAAATAAACCTTGACAATTATTTTTTTTTTCCCCTTTTGGTCTTTTAAATAAATTGTTGAGTGTTTCAAATGCCAGTTGATCCTGCCAAAAATCTAGTGAGTTGATAACTGTCTGCCTCTGTTGATGGTTATCAGTTAACATTGCTGCTAGTTCTCTCTGCAAACTACAGAACAAACCCTCTGCTCTATAATATAGGGAGAAAGTGTTCTGTAGTCCTAAAACATTTCTTGTCCTAAGGTGACAAGGATGATCCCCCATAAATACAGTAGGGTAAGTGGACATTGTCACCCCAGGACAGGGAATATGTTACTGGCAAGACCACTAGGCCTGAAGGAAGAAACTTAATACAGCCACCACAAGGACTGGTGAGCGGCTATATAATCAACCCCACTAAACCTTCTGTATTTATAACAGTAATGCAGTCAGGCATTTACAGTAATAAATATGACTTCTTTCAGGTTTTTTTTCCATGTTTTGTTTTCCAGCAAGGGTTACACACTGTGCTGGCACTTCATTGGAGATTTGGATCACTACACTCAAACAAAAGCAGCAGCCTGGGTCTCCAGTGGTCCGACATGCCCCCCTGCACACTGCTCCAATCAACAGCACTGATGTTGGAAATAACCAATGTGGTTTAAAAGAAAAAAAAAATGTAAGTATTATTGTTTCTAAGCGCCAGCACTTTCACAATAATCTTTTTCCACTGAGAAATGATCAAATGTGTGCTTAAGTGTTGTATGTGAACAAATTGCATTGGCTTATATTGTAGAATTCTTCCACTGTGGGGCAAATGACGACTGTAGACATTTAAGGCCTTAATTCTGGAGTTATGTGTGTTTTGTCACTTTGCTGACATTCAATCTATTTTTTTTTCATATATATTGAGATGTCTGCTGAAAAAGTTCACTTCACATTTTCTATCATAGTATGTCAAATCCTTTAATCACTGCTTGTGATAAGCTGATTAAAATAATCTGCTCAAGCAAAAAATTGATTCTGATATTCTGAAGAAAAGAACTTGAAGCTAATTAATTTAAAAGTGCACTAGCTGAGCCGGATAAACTAGGACTACAGTAATTACTTGCAGCTTCAAACATCTGATAACTGCACATAAGTATGCAGATGACCTTGACAATTAGTAATTGTATATAGCCAAATATCACACTGCAATGCAAGAAACATCTAAAGACAAGTCTATGGAAATCCCCCTATTTATAACTGGGAGTTCATTAGCAGTATATTTTCTAGTTGGCTATTCACACTGACAGTTGTTTAAATGAGTCGGCAAAGATACTTATCTTTATAATAACAAAAACTGAAAACATTTCCAACAGGTCCTACAACAGAGTCTAGTCTGATATCTCTAAATATCATGAGGTCACTAAATATTTATTTTAATTTTATTGGTGCACTAAACTGTATAGTTCTGCCTTGGTTGCATAGTTACATAGTCTGGCAGAAAAACAAAAGTCCATCCAGTTCAACCATTAAAAAAATAATAATTATAATTCTATACGCACAGTTGAGGCAGAGGAAGGCAAAAAAAAAACCAGCAAAGCATGATCCAATTTGCTCCAGCAGGGAAAAAAATTCCTTCCTGATCCCCCGAGAGGCAATCGGATATTCCCTGGATCAACTTTACCTATAAATGTTAGTATCCAGTTATATTCTGTGTATCTAGGAAAGAATCCAGGCCTTTTTCAAAGCAATCCACTGAGCTGGCCAGAACCAACTCTTGAGGGAGTCTATTCCACATTTTCACAGCTCTCACTGTGAAGAAACCTTTCCATGTTAGGAGATTAAATTTCTTTTCCTCCAGACATAAAGAGTGCCCCCTTGTCCTCTGTGATGACCTCAGGGTGAATAACTCTACACGGAGTTCACTATATGAACACTGATGTATTTATACATGTTGATCATATCCCCCTTAATCTCCTCCTCTCAAGAGAGAATAAATTCAGTTAAAGGGGAAGTCCACCAAAAAAGTTCCTTTTTTCATTGATGTGGTCATCCACAAAATTTTTTTGCTTCCTCAAGTTTCCTACCAGCATATTCCCTCTAACCTCTGTCATTGCTGAACATCCAGTAAAGAGAGGGTAGACGATGCATCAACTGTCTGTCCTGCACCCACAATTCATTTTCTATAAGAATATATGAAGAACTGCATTTAGCAGGTGACATCATAAGACTGACAAAGATAAAACTCGATCTTGGCCGGTCAGTGGAGGGTGAAGGAAATCGTCCTGCCTGTTTTTCTGGAGAGCTGTAAAGACCAGGTGAGGGATTTAGCTCAGCCTTACTCCATGTATTAGAGGGCAGTGCTGTTTAGAGCTCTCAATAAGCTACATTTAAGAACTATTTTATATGCAATTTAAATGGTAATGATAGAGACAAAGATAGAAGCTAGTTCCCCTACACAGGAAAGCCGCCTAACAAAGAAAGACTCTGACATGAGGCACTGTTCATCTATGCCCACTTACTTCCAAAGGAAGTTACAGCCACATTTCTATAGATACAGTATATGTTTAGTCTATTGCCTGACAGAAAGCATATGCCTGTCATTATTCACAAATGAGACAAAATAAAACAGAATGAACACAGACATCAGCGATCACTTCATTTTCTAATGTGACACCTAGTCTAAAAAAGGATAGAGCAAAATACCTTATAATAATAAACAAAATAAAAATAATACACATAATATTTAAGGCTCCATGCACACTAGTGTTTTTTAAAGCTCCTAGAAGCTGTTATCAGGATTTTTGTTCTGCTCCTAGAAGCTAAATAGTGTTATCCTATGTGTCCATACACACTATTTTAGGGCTAGTAGCATTTTTAAAGCTTCAGCGTGTAGGGGCAGAAAAAAAAATTGCTTGGCAGAGTTTTTGGGAGCATACTTCCAACATAAAAAAATGCTGAATGCCCCTAGATGCTATTAAAACACTCCTAACAGCTTTTTTTTTTCTACAAGTACTGTAAAAGAGCTAAGAGCTAATAAAACGCTAACACTCTTAAATGCTACTACAAACCGGCACAAAACACTATTCTCAGGCATTTTCATCCAGATTTTTTTCTAGTGTTTTCTGCGCTTATAAAAAACGCTAAAAGAAAAAAAACTAAACTTGCCTTGAGTTAAAGATGTGTGTTTAACAGGCATTATCTTTTACAACATGTAATTTTGCAAAGTGTAATTACTTAATACATTAATGTTAATGCGCGCTGAGTAATTTCTTAAAAGAAGCTCCATTATTACCTTGTCACAGTGATCTGAGTCATAGTTCAGTCCAATTCCACAGTCATCTGTAATTTCTGACAAATCTTCGTCATCAAATTCTTCCAAACTGATGTCTTGTGATGGCCTAATGTCAAAAAACAGTGACAGCATGAAGAACCACAGCCTAAAGTAAAATGACACATGCATGGTGGTACAAATGCATTTTTTTTACAAAATGACCATTGTTGGGGCAATAAACAGCACTCGTCGTGTTTAAATCCCATTCAATCCCATTTAAATCCCATTGATATATTGGCGTTTTATACAAAGAACAGGTGAAATGTTTCAGAAAGGTGTCACACATTTTTCTGATTTTACCAATATTAGTCAAGAGGAAAGATACACTGTACAAGGAACAGTTAATTTCTTATAATCAATCCTTTTTGCGTTTTTAAGGAGTAATGGTTATATGCCAAGGCTTTCTTTTATTGCTTTACTTTGGAATGGATTAAATAAATTGGTACATATATGAACAGAAATATTACATAATAGAAAAGTATGCTAGAACATACAGTATATGGAAGTAAGAATTATCAGCTACTGTATATAACTGCAAATGTGGTATTACTGTCAAAATAAATAAACTGTAAAATAATATAATCAATTGTGAAAACATGTAACAAAACAGAATAATCCTCGATGTTTTAAGTTGTCCATACATGGCTCAGTTCTTGTTGTTCAGCCAGCCAGCTGAACGAAAAAAAAACAAAACCAATTTCTCCATCCACACATTCGAGGGATAAGGAAATATTCCCCACTAGGTCTCCCCTGCTGTCAGAATACATTAAGCAGCACTGCAGACAAATAGCTGCATATGCTGATTAAGCAAAAAAATATCAACAAGCCATTCATGAAAAGTCGATTGATAGACTGACTTCCCATGAATAGGAGCAGCCATACAAGGATCAAAATTTGCCCAGTTGCTGCTGAACCAATCCATGTATAGCCAGCTTTACTCTCAAAGCAATTATTATAGCAATATTAAGCAATAAATTATTAAATATCACCTAATGCAATAAAGGTCATCGACTCACCAAACACATTTTACTAAAATAGGGACTTCTACAAGTTCTCCATTAAAAATGTATAGTAGATCTCCATAAAGGCAGGAATTTTTGTTTGAGGAACGTTAATAATAAATGTGTTAATTGCTGAAGCATCCCTGTTCCAAACACTATTCAGACTCTCATCAATAACTGATGGCATAATAAAAGTAGTGGAAAGTTGTGGAAATCTACGTCCTCACCATCCATATAACTATGGATCTGCTGCGATTAGGATATCAAACTTATGCAGAAGCTGACTAGTTTCTTCAAGAGTATGGATTCCAAATTCCAAACTGCTTGGTTTTACTGGATGGATTTTACCTTTAAGGACTCCTCTATGGTATAATACCACCTAACACCTCAAACACACCTTTCACCCCCATTAATGTCTAACTGGTGTTCATAATTGTCCCTTTAGCCCTTTGATCATTTAGCTTCCCCTCAATTCTTTTTCCTTTTCCTATACCATGCTCCAACCTTAACTCCATGTCACTCTAGCATCCTTTTTCACCTTACTGATGGGGAGCCTGCATCCCTCTGTCTGGCTAATCCACTTGTACTGATCCTTGTTTTGCTTCCCCCTCCTAACCACCCACCCTAGCCATGCCCCCATTGTCCCTATCCAACAGTCAGCCCTCCTCCCCCTTGTCATTCTGATTTCTGTTATTTTCCCTTCACCTGTAATCACCCAGAATATGTCGATTTTTTCCTTGTAAAAATTCAGCATTGGGTATTATCATGAAGCACTTTGGTAGTTTCTTGGTGACCTCTTTCTGCTCACGCTTTACCACATCATGCAATAACTTGAGGTTTCTCCATACCATAGAACTGTTGTTTCCTTTGCTACCTGTATATTTGATGCCTATGGCCAATACACCTGATCTGTACTGTATTTATTGCTAATGTCAAAATAAAGAATGCATAAAAAGTGGTGGAACAAAAAAGAAACTTGGATTTAAAATGAGTCTTAATTAAACCATAGAGAAGACTTTAAATTTAAAATCCATCCAGTAAAACCAAATGGTTTAAAATTTAGAATCTGTTCTCTTTTAGTTTTCTTCCATGCTATTTTAGAAAACCACGTAGAAGAATTTTACAAATATGAAAGAAGCAGATATTGCACCTTTTTAAAATGGTGATAATTTCTTGTGTGCTTTTTTTAAATTTTAACTCTACTGCATGACATCTTATGTATTGACTATGGAAAGAATGTACTGCCGCATATGTCAATACAGGAAAAGCAAGCTATTATAGCACCACTCTGCAAGAAAAACATACCAAAACCCAGACAGAGCCAAAGAAGAAAAGACACCCAATTACCAATCAGACATGAAAAACAAATGCATGTAGTAAAGCGAGAGATTAGTCAGTGGAGACAGAACACTTTGATCTCAGACGAGAAGCAGCAGCCACAAAACAGAGGATATTTGTAAATCTAAATAATGCCGTATATGACAGCACAGGTACAAGAAGAAAAAAGGTGTGATTTCATACTGTCTGATGTTTTCATGTGCAAACTAAAACATCCCGATCATTTTGCATCATTATCTGTCGCACTTAGCCTGCGCTAAGCTTTTCATTGGAAACATGTTTTAATTCCCTACTGAGATCCATCGCTGAGCTGCAAGGAGACAGAACATGAAAGCGTCTGAGACCTGGCAAACACAGTGTGTGCTGGAGCTGCAAAAAACAATGTACACACCACATACTGTATATTATTATTATGCAGTATTTATATAGCACCAACGGTTTGCTCAGCGCTGTACATTATAATGGGAGACAGAACACGAGACAGCACAGTAACAATACAATACAATACACGAGGGGTTCGAGGGCCCTGCTCCTTGGAGCTTACATGAATCCTAAACTCCCTGCTGTACACTCATAAATAATATACTTGATCAATTTTTATAGCGGCAACAATTTAACGGCTTCCTGCCCATCAGTACATCAAGATTGATCGATTTTAAAATATATACACTCACTGGCCACTTTATTAGGTACACCTGTTCAATTGCTTGGTAACACAAATTGCTAATCAGCCAATCACATGGCAGCAACTCATTGCATTTAGGCATGTAGATGTGGTGAAGACAACTTGCTGAAGTTCAAACTGACCATAAGAATAGGGAAGAAGGAGGATTTAAGTGACTTTGAAAGTGGTATGGTTGTTGGTGAATCTCCCAGAAAAAACAGGGCCTCAAGGTCTCAGAAGCAGTAGTTTGGAAATCCCTATATGCATATCAATCTGAAGAAATTGGTTACGGATTCAACCAACCATGGATTTTTTTTTATATATATATGTAAATACTTGTTCATAGTGTATTGGCATAGATACACAGGCTGGTGGTAAAAAGGCTATTCACTGAGCAACTTCTTTAATGCAAAAACTTCTTTAAAACCATACAAAACAAAACAATAAAGCACCACACTCCACAGATCCCATACTAAACCCCAAAGGTTGGGGAACATAGTGAACCAAGCATTGAAATATGTATCATTCCAAAGTAACTATATCAGCTCCATATTGCAGGGTAGAACCAATGAAGCCCCCATTATAAGAGACAATTCATGAATTGCAGAGATGCGCCTTTCAAAGTGGACATGCGTGGTAGATGAAAAATATATATATGACGTAAACATGCAGTCCAGAGGAGGAACTTGATGCTATGTCAACCTCCCTCATGCATTGAATAGATGACTCAGCGTCTTGTAATAAACGGTTGCAGAGTCCAAATGGTTGTTGGTGCCAGACGGGCTGGTCTGAGGTTTTCAAAAAGTGCTGATCTACTAGGATTTTCATGCACAGCCATATCTAGGGTTTATAGAGAATGGTCCAAAAAAGGGGAAAAATCCAGTGAGTGGTAGTTGTGTGGACAAAAATGCCTTGATGTCAGAGGAGAATGGGCAGACAGGTTTGAGATGACTCAAAAACTCAACCACTTGTTACAACAGAGGTATACAGAATACCATCTCTGAACACACAACCCATTGAACCTTTAAGCAGATGGGCTACAGCAGCAGAAGACCACACCGGGTGCCACTCCTGTCAAGGTACACTAAAGACAAGGAGCTTGGCAGGGCATGCTGGCACTTGTAGCTTTATAGTAGTTGTAGATCTAGTAATTTCTTATCTCTGGTAATTTATTCTTTTCAGATTTGGAAATTCTGATAATAAATATCAGACATTTTTCTAATTCAGTATACATTTAATCTGGTCCTATGACACTTCTGATAATACTGTCATAAGGTATCTAACAACATTTTGCTTTCATACATATTATATGGCACCTCTGATTGCACAGTTAGTTTGAAAAATGGCCATCTAGTTCAACCAATAGAAAAGAAAAAACAAACAAATAGAAAACCTCCATATACACAATCTTAGTCCCCTTTAACATGGGGCAGAATCCGCTTTGCTCAGCAGGGAATCTCTCTTCTGATCCCCTGCTGATCATAGCAGAGCGGGTGGATGACAGGCCCTTGTCCATTCAGGTTATGCAGAGCAGACATGGACAAAGCCCGCTCTGTTCTATGGTCGGTCAGGTGTAAATTGATCAGCTCTCCGTTAATACCCAACTGCCCTTTGATCTGATCCGCCTACACTGAGGGAAACGGATCCCTTTCCATTTTTTTTTTAGTGGACTGGATTGGAGGCAGGCGGGTGTAAATGGACACAATGCCATTAGTTCCTGCCAGTCCATAAGGATACATGGACCATCCGATCAGGTCCACCTGAAAAACTGACAGATGGCCCTGATCAGATCACCTGTGTGAAAGGGGCCTTATACCCCCCAGTTCATCCAAAGGAAGGCAAAAAAAAAAAAACTCAAATAAAGCATGATCCCATTTCTTCCTGATCCCCCAGAAGGCAAGCGGATATTCCCTGGATCAACTACCCAATACATTGCAAGGGTTCCGGCAATGGCACCTCTGGTAACTTTGGTATGGATCAGTCTTCTGTTAGACACTGGTCTAGCTTTGTCATTTCTTGTGTGTGTCTTTATGAGGATCCATATATAGGGATAATTAGGCCTGTAC